CAACTATTTAGGTACATGTTTACATGACGAACATAAACAGAAAATAATCTGAAAATATACACATCACATTTTACAAGTGGCTCCCTCTGGGAAGTGAGAGCAGGTAGAATAGGTACTTGACTTTTGACTTTTCTCACTTGCATGGCACGTTCTAGTTTGTAGCAGAAAAAAATCCCCCATCTTTTAAAGATAAAAATGAAAAGTTACTTCACCAGCATTCTCACGTGAGGTTTGTAAAGGGGAGAGACCTCATTAAATACACATGTCAAAAAGGAATCGAAATGATTCAAAAATTACATACAGCTGAAAATGCCGTTTAACTAAAAACAACCTCATTGAAACTGATAAATACAAGTGGTTCCGGTTGGAATTTCGTGCCATACTTACGATCTTGCCGAAAATATGTTTGCAACAATCCCAAGATTCTTTCTACTTCTTTCTCTGTGGCTTCTTGATGAGACTCTTCCATTCTTTTTAACTGAAAAAATAATTATCGAGCTGACTGACCTACTCACTTGCCTGTTAACCACCTTTTCTTCTCTCTTGCAAATCCCAAATTCTCTAAATGTCTTTTGTTGGGAATTGTTAGCAGTTTTTATCCCCATCTTATAATTTACAGTTAAAAAAAGGATTTTCTGGTTTCAGTAATATTTTTATATTAATCTCTTAATAGAAGAGTGACATTACCAAATCAACCATTTTCAGGTTGAACATAAAATAGCAAAATACAAAAAGGGCAGTTTAGAATAATCTTTCTCAACTGGGAGCAAGTTTGCCCCCTAGGGGACACTTGCTGGTATCTGGAGACATTTTTGGTTGTCACAGCTGGGGAGCTGGTTGTCACTACTGGCTTCTAGTGGGTAGAGGCCAGGGCTGTGCTAAAAGTCCCGCTGTGCACAGGACAGTCCCCACAACAAAAAAGAGTTATCCAGCCCTAAATGTTAATAGTGCTGAGGCTGAGAAATCTAGTTTAAGAGAACTGATCAAAACTACAAAAAAGACAAGTGGGCAATCCAACACATTGTTTAAAGGCTTAAATAAAATGATTAAGTGAGAGAACCTGGTTCCAGACCCTAAAGCTTAGAAAAGATGGCCAAATTATATATACATTACATTAATGGCTACTTTAAGTTTAGGTATTTTCAAAAACAACATTTAGAAAACACAAACCTGGACAGGCATGTTCTTCTCCTCTTCTCTCGTTTTAACTTTTCTTGGACGATCAACTCGTGGCTTTGGTGCAGGACACTCTCCTTGTATTGAACCCAACCTAATGAAAAATATGCTTTCATGTCTTTTTCTGTTTGTTTTTAAAACAAACTAATTTTGCTAACTAAAAGCAGCTTGCATGGCATAGTCAGACTCAGACGAGGTATCAGTGCTAGCTGAGCTGACAGCAGTCCAGGACTCTTGGTGAGGTTTGTGACTTTCTGTTCTCTTTAAGAATTTCTAGGAGCTTTCCTCAACCTCAGCTACCTCCTCAAATACCTTCATATTGCTCTGTAGAGTAAATCAGTGAATGTACCTGTGATGTCTTCCCAGCTAGCCTATTGCAGAGCCAACTCCTGAGAGGAAGGCGAGGATGAAGACGTGGGGAAGGAGAACGCAACAACTCCAATGTGATCAAAAGCCTTTGATCTGGGGGTGCCAGGGCTGAGTCTCACAGCCTGGGATTATAGAACACAGCTGTCTTAGGACAATAGGTCAAGCCAGGGCCATGGGATTCCTTTTCCTTTTAGACTCTCTCCTGATACATCTGCAGTAACAGATGTATCGTGTAGAGATTGAGACCCCAAGAATAGAGACCCATATGGTCCCTACACTTGAGGAAATAAAAGTATACGGTATAGATGGACAGATACATTATGCACATAGATCCATTTCAACGTAACATGACAGATCCTGTACTGGTACAATAGAGTATTGCTCTAGTGCTATGACAGCATCGGGGCAGAGACATCTACCCAGACATGGGAGTTATCTGGCTGGGAAATCTGATCCTGCGCTGATAACACTTCTGTCTGGAGAAGTTACTCTGGCTTCCAAGCTGGGGCCTGTGGGGTAAATAAACCTCACCAGATGGAAAGGATGGAGGAAAGGACCCTGGAGACTAAGGGAACAGCAAGTGCAGGGACAGAGTTGCAAGTCCTTCACTGTGGCTGGAAATTGGGCTTTATCTTTAGATCTCAGGATTTGTAGCAGAGCTTAGCCCTCAAGAGCAAAAACAAAGATTTGGACTTCATACCATAATAAAGAAGTGCAGTCTTTATCCTACAATATATACAATGGCTCTGGGCACCTGAGTTAACCTGAAGCCTTGTTGAAAACAGATGCCAGGCCCCACACCACAGACCTACGACATCTGCATCTTCAAAGCCTTCTGAGACACTGCCAATCTCAGGAGATTTAAAAGGCGAATCAGAAAAGACCAATACCCAGGAGCTACGCCACTTAAGAAAGAACGGACTCACACAACTAGAGGGTTACCCTAGGAAAGTGTCCACTGGGGAAAACAACCAGCATACTCTAAGGCTGTCTTAAAGAAGAACCAGTAAGGGCTGTTCTTGGTTTCTCCATAGGACAGAGTATAAAGAAAAACTTGTCTTAAAATTAGAGTTGTATCTAAAAAATGAATTGGGCAGTTTAGGTGACAGCGATTCAAGTAGTCTTCAAATAGAGAACAGTGATCATCCAACAGGATATTATAATGAATGTCACTGGACATATTGGTAGAATCTTAAGATACCCTCAATAGGAGGTATCATCCTCCTACATGATAAGGATTTCAAAGACGATAAAACAAAACCAGACATATGCTACAGACCCAAAGTCTCAAGAGATAGAAGCAAACAAGCCAAGAGAGAGCCTTGGTAAGAAGGTTCTGGCCTGTGGCCTTCCCTGCTAAAGCAGGATGAGGGATCCTTTAAGGTTCTGTCCATATCAAGAGTTTGTGGACTTTTAAATCAAAGTTTAGAAGTCTCCAAACAATGGCATCATGACTGTTGCCTCTATAGTACCAAACAATCTTTGTCCCTACAATAAAAAACAATTTAAGGTTTACAAATGGCTGGTCTGTTGGATTTTTAAAATAATCTTACAGAAAGTGGAATGTATGGGTTTTATTAAAGGTGTTTTCTGCTGTTTTGCCTGATATTTTCCAGGAGTCATAGACTATGAATTCAAAATCAGAACTATCTTCATCACGGATGAATTCTTCAGCTTCTAGCGGATTTACACCCATATGTGTCAGCTACAAAAATGAAGGAAAACAAAAAACCCCAGTTAAGCCACAAGTAATCATTCACCACATCAAATAACCTGCATCACTAAACCTTTAAGAGGCCAGAGGCAAAATCTGTTTTCAGTGTCTTAACATGTTGGTTAAATTTCTTATAGTAAAGATAGCTTTATAGATAAATTCCTATTTTCGAAGGTACCTTCCTTTTTGGCGGAAAATATTCCTCAATGTACTTAGAACCTTTGGGTGAAAAAGTAAAATGATTTAAACCAGTGGTTCTCAACCAGGGTGAATTTGCCCCCTGGGGTCTTTTGGTAATACCTGGAGACATGTTTGGTTGTCACAACTGGTGTACTGCTGGCATCTACTGGGTAGAGGCCAGGGAGGCTGCTCCACATCCTACAATGCATAGTATAGGTCTCCAAAACAAAGATACACCCCCCCCAAAATGTCGACAGTGCCACTGGCAGGCTGAGGGTTTAGGTACGCCAGTAGAACTAAGCCCCCTGAGAATTTCTGTATCACAAGCAGTTCATTTATTAGTAAAGCTGTACTAGTATAAAAATATAAAATTACATCCCAAATCAAAAGCTCCATGACAACACAAGGAAGTTCGGCTGGCTTTCAGATTTTAATTTTTTTGCCAACCTCCCAGAAATCTATATTCAGCTCGTATCTAGTATATCCAGACAGCAGTGGCCCAGCATCAGTTAGGGCATCGCTCATCTTAAAATTGCCTTCCTGGGGAAAAGTTGGCGGAAGCTGAATAATTCCCTTGTCTCAAACTGTATTACAGACAGTTTGAGAAAACATATTGTATTGAATTTACTTCTATAAAAATACACTGTTATTACATTATACTATAAAATGCCTAGAAGTTATCAAATTACAATGCTAATATCATACATAAACAATAATCACAAAGCCGTCAGGGAGATTAACCCTATTAAAAGCAACCAAACATTGAAGAAAAGAAAAGCTGTAAGAGCCTGGTCAGAGTGTCGTGGTCACCTCTCTTCATTCTCTCGCCACCCCGAGCTGCCAGCGCACCTCTGCAGGAGGACATTTCACTTTTGGTCTGTTCAAATCTACTAATCTTTTCCTTATAGTGTCTATATGTGATGTTATACATGGGAAGGTCTTCCCCACCCAGAGACTAGATAACTATTAAAGTTTTATTTTAATGCTTTAAGACTTCTAGAATTTATTTTGATATGTTGAGGTACAGAGTTTAACTTGATAAAAGTAATTAAAAAAAAACAATATATGGTCACTTTGTCGAGCTGTGCATTTAGTGTACCTTTTCCCAAACACACATTATACTTCACAATACAGAAGTTTTTTTAAAAAAGAAAATTCTAAGGTTTTAAAAACAACAAATTGCAAATAATCATCTGCCTCATGCCTTTACAAAATAATTACCTTATCTGGTCAGATCTCATGGTATGAAATCATTTTTATAACCATTTAACAAAAACATCCAGTCAGAAATGCAATGTTCATACCAAGGGACACCTGTCTGTGCTAGGACAGAGCATGGCTCAGAGGAGAATCAAAAACAGACAACAGAGTAAGATAAAAGGCCAGTCTCAGTGTGCTTTTTTTCCCTCTTTTTGGTACATCCATCAAGGAAAAGTTTTAAAATTTCAAGTGACAACTATTCACACTTGGTAAGTGGCCAAGAAAGATGAATAAAACAAAATAAAACCAAAAAAAGCAAATCTCCAATCAGATTTATATGATTCTGAAATGTTCTCAAAGACAGACCAAAACATGTCCCCTCACCAGGCCTGACTCATCTCCAGCTGAGCTCTGCCACCTCAGGGTGGGCTTTTCTCTGGCCCAGAACAAAGGTCCCAGGTCACTGAGAATCATCTATAACACTTAAGAACTGACTGAGGAAAAATGGGCACAGCAAGGCCAGGTACGGTGGCTCACGCCTGTAATCCTAGCACTCTGGGAGGCCGAGGCAGGAGGATTGCTCAAGGTCAGGAGTTCGAAACCAGCTTGAACAAGAGCGAGACCCCGTCTCTACTAAAAATACAAAGAAATTAGCTGGACAACTAAAATATATAGAAAAAATTAGTCGGGCATGGTGGCGTATGCCTGTAGTCCCAGCTACTTGGGAGGCTGAGGCAG